ATATTAAGATTGGCAATGTCCTATGATAGTTTTATTTGTCAATTTTTACATGTGAATGAGAACTACTGATACTTCTATAGCCCTTGGTTCTTGGAATTTAAATGAAGCTTGGTTACCACTGAGTAAACCAGAGGTTGGTGAGGCCATAAACTGAATAAGAAAAACTCACTCTGAATACTTTGGTTCCTGTTTATTTCCAAATATATCACACAGGAAAGGAGGTCCTTTAAGTAAATTTGGTTCAGGGGATTAAAAATAGTCATGGTATACACTCAATAATTAAGCCTTAAAAATGTCAAAGGGCTGGAATGGAAGCAATAGAGGTAAAGAAACTCTCACAAGGTCCTTATTCCTTTTTGCTATGCAGCAAATGATAGAAGGAAGCAGAAAAGCCAGTGGCATTTAAAAAAAAAAGGGGGGGGGGAGGTAATATGAAATGGGTCAAGATTTTCTATTGGGATTAACATAATAGCTGGAAATCGGCTTTATATTCAATCTAGGTAGATCTCATCTATCTTATAAAACAAAGGTTACAGCAATTACCATTTACTAATACAATATGTACCAAGCAGTGTTGCTAGTAGTTTCTTAGTCATTATCTCAAATATCTCTAATCTCATTCTTAGTTGGGTCATTATCATAGCAACTTCATGGATGAAGAAACACTCTGCAAGGTTGTAAGAAGCTTGCCCCAAATCACACAACTTGTAAATGACTGAGTCAGGTTTCTAACCTGAACTCTGTGTGACTCCACATCCTATCCACCTCCTATAGTCCACACTATAGGTCCCCATATTCAATCACTAATTTTAGCTTCTTTCAAGTCCTGGCTTTGTTACTATCATGCATACAAGCCCTGGGATGGCCAAAATGGGATCATTAATTGTCAATGGCTTCCTGGATCCCATATTAAGGATGGTATAGGGCCCCAGAATTTAGTGGGGGAAAAGCATCTCAACTGTCTGTCACAGGTGAGTGCACATATGGGATAATACAAGTGCCTTCTATTTGTTTGCCCCACTTTATCCAAAAATTTTGTTTCAAAAATAAAGTATATTACACAAAACAACAATAAAATAAATTTTAGGCAATGGATCTAAATGACTTATTTATTAGCTAACATTCAATTTTCCCAGAAAACTTTACCTGAAGAACATAGTCATGTTTAACTGTGTTCAAATACCATTAAATTGACAATGTCGTTTCCTAACAAAGTGGTGTTTCCTAACAATATAATAATATATTCTTTTAGGGGGTATATAGCTATGTACTAAGTTGAATCTGTATACCTGAGTGATACCATGTTTCCGAGTTCTGCCGGTAAACTCCGGATTTTATTAGAGGACAGGTCCAGATACACCAGATTGTGAAGCTTGGCAATGTCTGAAGGAATGCGGGACAGGGAATTGTCACTTAGATACAAAGCTGTCAAGTGAGTTAGTGACCACAAAGATGAGCTTAAGCTTCTTACTTTTCCTGTAAAAGAAGAAAAAAATGGGGTAAGAATTATATAGTGTTCTATACCAAATGTAAAATAGATAGCTAGTGGGAAGGAGCTGCATAGCACAGGTAGATCAGCTTGGTGCTTTGCATCCACCTAGAGGGGTGGGATAGGGAGGATGGGAGGGAGATGCGAGAGGGAGGAGATATGGGGATATATGTATATGTATAGCTGATTCACTTTGTTAAACAGCAGAAACTAACACACCATTGTAAAGCAATTATACTACAATAAAGATGTTAAAAAAAATTATATAGTGTTCTCTACAGTTTAGCCCTTGGATTAAGTAATATTTTAGATATTTTATTGAGTAATAATTTTTTTAAAATAAATTTATTTATTTATTTTTGGCTGTGCTGGGTCTTCGTTGCTGCACATGGGCTTTCTCAAGTTGTGGCGAGTGGGGGCTACTCTTCATTGTGCTGTGCGGGCTTCTCATTGTGGTGGCTTCTCTTGTTGCAGAGCACGGGCTCTAGGTGCATAGGCTTCAGTAGTTGTGGAGAGGGGGCTTCAGTAGTTGTGGCTTGCGGGCTCTAGAGCACAGGCTCAGTAGTTGTGGCGCACAGGCTTAGTTGCTCCGCGGCATGTGGGATCTTCCTGGACCAGGGCTCAACCCTTATCCCCTGCATTTGCAGGTGGATTCTTAACCACTGCGCCACCAGGGAAGTCCCATATTGAGTAATAATTTATCACACAAAAAATTGTGAGAAAGGGGTCAATAGTAGAAACCTTACCGATTCTAGAACAATTCACTGCTATGATTAAGTTATAAACTCTCCACTTGGCAGACTAAAAAAAAAAAAAACCCATTTAAGGCAATATATCAATATTTAGATTCCACTGTTATTTTTAAGAATACAATAGTTAAGACTTTATCCTTTAAATTAGCCTCAGCTATGACAAGAAAAAGCATGAATAATTTATAGTAATGATAAGTCCAATATTTCAACATGAATGATTTGGACTTACGCAAAAAAAAAAAATCAAATCTAGTCTCTCAGAGGCTATTCATATCTATACTCCAGAAAACAAGAATTTTGCCTAAAAACAGAAGATACGTGAGATATTCTCAGCTTAGCAAACTTTTAAAACCCAGAGTACCAAAGTAATAATTTCATCAATAATCATGTAATTAGACCAATCTGTACTGTATAATTAAAAGGAAAAATACCTGCCCAGAAGCATTTCAGATATTAAGTCATAACTACACATAATCAAACAGTAACAGACATAGGATTCAAGAGGCAAGAGTTGTGACTAGAAACAGAATAATTTCTTTCAATGCAATATTAAATCTGTACTTTGGCAGTTCTTGGTAAGATGACAACTGTTTCTAAATTCACCTAAGAATTTTCCCCATAGTATTTTTAATAGTGCAGGTTATAGTCTGAGAGAGAATGAAACAAATGGATGTAATGAAAATATAAGTCTTTGAAAACTGATTTTCTATTGGCTGAAAAAGCAGTCTAGAGACTTATAATCAAAATGGAATAACAGGGACCAAATTTACTATCCCACCTGAACAATTATAAAACCAGACAATATACATGAATCAACAAATATCAGAGATCAATCAGGAGACTGATCCAATCGGCACAGGAGAGTGATCCCTGAAGGATGAAAAACAAACAAGACAGGCCAACAGCAGCACAGGGAGGGGATTCCAGGGAAAGAACACTGATCTCCCGCAAGTTCAGGACACAGAGCAAATGTCCAGGGAAGCCAGGATGACTAGAATTTACAAAGGCAGAGTACCAGAGAGGAGAGAGATGAACAGAAAGGTCTGGAGATTTGAGGTTCCCCTCAAGTTGTCAACTGAGTACTGATCACCATATGTATGTGAGAAATTGCCTTGAGCCAGAGGAAAGAAACACCCAAAAGGAGTAAAGGTAACAACCCCTAGGTTCACACGTCACCCAGGTTCACACATCACTCAATAAGGTAAAATTCACAATATATGGCACCCAACTAAAAATTACTAGGTATGCAAAGAAACAGGAAAATATCATCCATAATGAAAAGTCAGTCAATTAAGACCAGTCCAGAAAAGATAATGACGATAAAATTAGTAGACAGACATTAAAAGTTACTTTAATTATATTCCATATGGTCAGAAGCTAGAAGGCTAAACACAGTAACTAGTGATACAAGATAGCACACTCAAATTGAATTTCTAAAGTTGAACACCATGGTTAAGAGGAAATGGGGAATGACTGCTAATGTGTTGAGGGTTGCTTTTGGGGACAGTGAAAATGTTCTCAAATTGACTATGGTAATGGGTGCACAACTCTGTAAATATATAAAAACTACTGAATTTGCACCTTAAGTGGGTGAATTGTGTGAATTATACTGTTACCAATTACAGCTGTCACCAAAAGAGAGGCAGACAGGCACACACATACAGAGGCAGAAAAATTTCCACATTAATGCACTGAAGGAAAAAAGTCCTATCGACCTAGCAACCCAGAAAAAAACTTTCAAGAGTGATGGCAAATTGTAAGATGAAAAGAGCTATGGAGATGGATGGTAGTGATGGATGAACAACATTACGAATGTATCTGATAAAAAAAAAAAACCTTCCCACAAAGAATATTCTAGAACCAGAAGAGTTCATTGGCGAATACTACCAAACATTTAAGGAAGAATTAATATCAATTCTACACAAATTCATCCAGAAAACTGAAGAGGACACTTCCCAACTCATTCTATAAGGTCATCATCAACCTGACACCAAAACAAGACAAAACTAGTACAAGAAAATTACAAAATGACATCCTCATGAACATAAATGTAAACTGACAAAACAGATCCAACAAGATATTAAAAGGATAATGACCAAGTAAGATTTGTGCCAGAAAATGCTAGGTTTGTTGAACATTCAAAAAATATAATTTAAAAAATGTTTTCTCAGAAAAGAAAATCATCTAAATAAATGCAGGAAGAGCATTTGACAAAATCAGCATCCATTCCTGATTTTTAAAAATCTCTCATACCAGCTGATTTTTCAGCAGCAACTCTACAGGCCAGAGGGGAGTGGCACGATAATATTTAAAGTAATGAAAGGGAAAAACCTACAACCAAGAATATTCTACCCAGCAAGGCTCTCATTCAGATTTGGAGAAACCAAAAGCTTTACAGACAAGCAAAAGCTAAGCTTTACAACAAACCAGCTTTACAACAAATGTTAAGGGAACTTCTCTAGGTGAAAAATAAAAGGTCACAACTAGAAAAAAAGTTATGAAAATGAAAAAGCTCAGCAGTAAAGGCAAGCATACAGTAAAAGCAGGAAATCATACACACACACAATCCTAGTAGGGAGGCTAAAAAACAAAAATTAGTAAAATCACTATGTCCACAATAAGCAGTTAAGAGATACGCAAAAAAATAAGACATAAAATGTGATATCAAAAACATTAATTGTAAGGGGAGGAGAGTACAAGTGCAGGGTTTTTAGAACGCACATACACTTCTATACAAACCTCAAGGTAACCACAAACCAAGTACCTATAATGGTATATCTAAAGTATATCTATATACTTTAGATATGATAAAGTATATGATATATCTAAAGTATATCTATATACACACAAAAAAGAAAAAGGAATTCAAACATAACACTATAAAGACAGTCATCAAATCACAAGAGAACAAAAGAAGGGAAAAAAGACCTAAAAAACCAAATCTAAAACAATTAACAAAATGGCAAAGAGAATATACATATCAATAATTACCTTAAACGTAAATAGACTAAATGCTCCAACCAAAAGACACAGAGTGGCTGAATGGATGCAAAAACAATACCCTATATACACTACCTACAAAACACTCACTTTAGAACTAAAGACACACACAAAGTGAGTGAATGGAAAAAAGGAATTCTACCCAAATGGAAACCAAAAGAAAGCCAGAGTAGCAATACTTATATCAGACAAAACAGACTTTAAGATAAACACTGTTACAGAAGACCAAGAAGGACACTACATAATGACCAAAGGATCAATCCAGGAAGAAGATATAACAACTAAATAAATATATATGCACCCAACATAGAAGCACTTAAATATATAAGGCAAATATTAACATACATAAAAGGAGAAATCAACAATAACACAATAATAGTAAGGGACTTAACACCCCACTTACATCAACGGACAAGTCATCAGAGAGAAAATCAATAAGGAAACAGGGACCTTAAATGACACATTAGACAAAATAGACTTAATTGATAAATATATAGAGCATTCCATCCAAAAGCAGCAGAATAAACATTCTTTTCAAGTGCAAATGGAACATTCTCCAGGACAGATCACATGCTAGGCCACGAAACAAGCCTTGGTAAATTTAAGAAAACTGAAATCATATCAAGCATCTTTTCTGATCACAATGCTATGAGACCAGAAATCAACTACAAGGAAAAAAATGCAAAAAACACAAACAATATGCTATTAAACAGTCAATGCACCACTGAAGAAATCAAAGAGGAAATCAAAAATACCTAGAGACAAGTGAAAATGAAAATGAAACTGAAAACACAATGATCCAAAACCTATGGGACACAGCAAAAGCAGTTCTAAGAGGGAAATTTATAGTGATACAAGCTAACCTCAGGAAACAAGGAAAATCTCAAATAAACAACCTAAACTTACACCTAAAGCAACCAGAGAAAGAACAAACAAAACCCAAAGTTAGTGGAAGGAAAGAAAGAAATGAAGAACAGAGCAGAAATAAATGAAATGGTGACTAAAAAAATAATAAAGATCAATAAAACTAAAAGTTGGTTCTTTGAAAAGATAAAATTGATAAACCTTTAGCCAGACTCATCAAGATAAAAGGGGACAGGGCCCAAATCAATAAAATTAGAAATGAAAAAAGGAGAAGTTACAACCGACACCACAGAAATACAAAGGATCATAAGAGACTACTATGAACAACTATATACCAATGAAATGGACAATCTATAAGAAATGGACAAATT